GTGAAGAAATGTCTTACATCAGAAAGTTAAGAGTATTACAACGACTTAAAAACTGGTCAAATTACCAGACTTTGTTGTTCTGTTCTCTAATTATTTATTTGATTTTATTTGTAAGAAGTTACAATATGTTTACTTACAAGGAATTGATTTGTAAGAAATAAGCAATGATTTCCATTCATGTGTTTACTAAAGTAATGGTAAATATAAGGACACATTACTAGGGCTGGTTCGGTATGGGATACCGAATTGAAAACCATATCCCGATTCCCAAACCAAAATTTTTGGGAATTCCAATTTCAAGACCAATCCCAAACCAAATATTTGGGAATCCCAAATTTCGAAAATCCCGAAATAGTTTTAGGATTTCGGGACAAATTGGGATTCAATTTTGATTTTGGGCATTTGGGTTGTTGGGCTGAAACTTGACATATTGGGCTTTTGGGCTAAAATTTAGCCTTTTATATTGAAATAGTCAGCCCAATTTCGTTAATACCAATCTGTCATACATAGAAATATGTCATATGTGCGTTTGTGCAATCTATTTTGAGCCACCAATGCAATCTATTTTGAACCTTTAACTTCATACATACCAATCTGTGTAATCATATATTTATAGCCCTAATTGAAATATGAAATTATGAATTGTTTTTCAAATATATTTTACTATACATGCATGCAACAAAAATAAATTAAGTAACAAACCCAAAAGCAAAAAAATACAAGCCAAAGTTTCAAAATAAATTAAGTTACAAACCAAAAGAAAAAAGAAAAGCTTAAAGTTTATGAAGATTGTTGGCCTCTTTGCCACTTTGGCCCCTTGATCTTGTTGATGGTTGTGGTTGCTCCCTTCTTGTTGGTACTCTTCCCCTTGATGTTGATGGTTGAGCCCTTCCCCTTAAAATGGGTGCTCGTGGAGGTAGTGATTGATTTTGATGTTGTTGAACTTCAACTTGAGGTGGTCCAGGAAATGGAGGTGGCATTTCATTTCCTTGTGTTGTATTCTCCTCACCTCCCAAATTAGCCGTGCCTAAAACAATAAACCACAAATCATTTAGATTGAATTATAGAAATAGATAATAAATACTAAGAAAATAAAAGAGGAAATTAAATTATTTACTTACTTTTTTCTAAGCGTTCAAGTTCTTTGTAGAAATTGAATTCGTCGAGTGTAGGCTCTTTGTAGAAACAAACTTCATTTCCTCTAAGCCAATCACTTGTACACACTAAAGCCTCAACCGTTTTAGGTGTTGAGGAAACTCTAAAATAATCAACAACTCTCCCACTAAGACTAAAGGCATTCTCACTAATAACGATGCTACTAGGAAGGGCCAATACATCCTGAGCAACTTTACTAAGAGTTACATATGTACCACTATTTCCTTTCCACTAATCCAAAAGATTGAAATCCTCATATGTTATGCTTTGATGTAGATCATTGAAGTACATATCCACTTCATTGGCTATCTTAAATTATTGTGCCGTCGCTCTCTTTTGATGGATCCTCCACATCCGGATCATTATCCCAACAATCTTCATAATAATCATCATGCAAATAATCTTGAGGTGAGGGAGTGCCTAGTTGAAGGTACCACTAGGTTGGTTTTGTTTTCGTTTTCCTAATACCGAGACCATAGATGTACTAGATTGGTTACTAGACCCATCCATCCTAACAAATATAATAACAATGCACATTAATATATCACAACCACAGTTTAGCATATATCCAAATTCCAATACAATAAATCACATATCCAATTCAAATGCAATAACATATTCAATATGTGCAAAGTAAGTACAACATTAAATTTTAAATCTATGCATGCTGAATGGCATTTCTTAAGAGGAAACAATTAAAGAGAATTCTCAAATCATATCTATTTGGATAGAGTACTAAGGTAACAATTAAGGAGAATTCTCAAATCAAATAATATATAGTCTCAAATCAAATCATATTACAACAAACTTTCAAATACGCATAGTTAGAACAGATCAAGGAAGAAAAGGACATTCAAAATCTATTGCAACTCCCTAAACCTTTTCAGAGCAACGCAAAAGAGATTCTTCTTCAACAAGCTTTGCTTGCATTCAAAGAATGAGGTAACAGATGGTGACCTCACTTTTGTCAGGTAACATATGCCTTTCTAGTTTCTAATAAAAAAGACATCAACCCAAAGCAACATCAAACTCGAATTCCTTTAAATTCAGTGGTATTATAGACTATCTTGGCGCAACCATGATCAAGCCATGGCTCTGCCTCTGTGTCGTGAAGGAAGACTCCTCCACAGTGAGGGATGAGAAGTCGAGAGAGAGAGAGATCAGAGAGGTGATAGGTCAGTCAAGAGAGAGGTGAGTCACTTGTGTGATGTGTGTATGGCCGGATTCGAAGACGGAGAGAGAAATCGGCGAGGGTGGTGAGGTGAGGTCGAGTCAAGAGACAGAGAAAGAAAGTGATTAAGTTCTAAGGGTTTGATTTGTATTCAATGGTTGAGATTAAATCTCAACCAAATTCGACATCTATTACAATTCCAAATATATATTTAAAATTAAATAATATATATATTTTTATTTCTGTTCTGTTCGGGATTACTGAATGAATGAAAATGTGAGACTGATTCCTGTACCGAAATTTCGAGATTGGTTCGGTATTGGGTATTGAAATTTTTGGTATTTTCGGTTTGGTATTTTTTCGGTTCGGTTTGGAATATTTGGTTTTTTCCACCCCTAGACGTTACGTAAGGGTAATCAGAATAGAAAAGCGGAATTGAATTTCGATTATGGGATACTCCGATGTTTATCAAATATTGGGAAATCAAAAATTCGGTTGACTTACGTAAATTTTGGAAATTTGAGGAACTGGATTCCCTACAGTTTGATGGTACTTGGATTCCGGATTGCTGGGATAATTGGAATTGACTTTCTCTCCCAATTATGCCCTTATTTATTCTTAAATTTTCAAAATTGCACTTCCTATTAACCCATCATAACCCCTAGGGTTATCTCACTTTCTCTTTAGTGCATCTCCATTTCTCTTCATCTGCAACTCTTATCAAATTTACGTACAGTTTAACCCTGTTTGTCTTCTGAGTTTTCATCTCTATATTGATTATGGTTACGTAAACAGGCCATAAATTCATCTACTGGGTATCTCATTCTTTCTCATGGTAAGTAAACATGCACTTAAAAGATTAAACCTATGATCTACCACTCCGTAATGTTACTGGAGTTGACTCTTAAACATATTAAAATACATTAATTTAGAGTAATGTTAGGTAGATTAAATTTGTAAACTAAATGATGTGTCACCAACTAAAAATAAGCATATTAATCAACACTTCAGTAATAATCCAATCGTAAACTTGAATGTCATTTAGTTTATAAAATTTAGTCTCCCTAACATTACCCTTAGAACAAATGTAAATACTAAACCTTAGATGCAAAAGTAAACACTGTCAACCCTCAATTTAGAACTTAGAAGTAATTTGCAATACAAAAATGTATATATAAGCCACTTAGTACTACAATATGATGATATTTCTCTTCACTTATAAGTGAGAGGTTTTAGATTCAATTCTGCCAAAGTTAGCTTACTCCTCCATCCTTTTAACGTAAACCTTTTAACGTAAAGAATATCGTTTGTTAAAAAAAAAAAAGGTATATATAAAAAAGAAACTTTTTACACAAGTCAAATTTCAATGGACCATCACTAAATTTATTAAGTTTGGATCCATAAACAGATGCACATAGGTTAGAACGAGACATTGACCATAGCCTATTAATTGGAAAATAAAGTAACTTCATTAACTACAAAGTAATGTACATTATACCTATATACTAAATATTAATACCTTTTTCCAAAATCAAACACACAAACACATGCAAAACATAATACCCCAGAAAATACGTTACCATTAACATTATAAAATCACTGACAGTTAAAATACGTTTTTCTTAGGGACTTGGTCCAAACCGACCCTTATTTTTATGTCACATTTTTTCTTACTTTATTCTATAATTATTGTCATTCAGTTTATGAATTATTGACTCTTGTTGTTGGACTCCCTTCACTTGTTTTGTTCTGCAGGTCTTGCAGATCTCTCAAACTGTGAGACTGAGTTTGTTACGGCAGTTGCCTCATTCTCGGCTCCCCGGAGCCGATCTTTATTGTTGTAATTAAATTATATTAAAATATAGTTCGAATAAATAAAATTGAATTTAAGAAAATAAAATATTCTTTGTTTACAATGATAATTATTCTAATTAAGGTCGATCGTACAACAAAATTCTACACAATAATAGATATATTTGTATAATTGCAATTCATTCACAATAATTATCACTTTTATTATTATTTGGACTTGGATTGTCTGCCCTCCTAGTTGTGGTGCCCTTCCATGCCTTCCTATTTTGTGCGGTCACGGTTAAGTCACGTTAATATTTTATATTAATTTTTTAATAAGATCATAAAACAAAAAATAATAAAAATATAAAATATTGACGTGGCTTAACCGTGACCGCACAAAATAGGAGGGCATGGAAGGACACCACAACTAGGAGGGCAGACAATCCTTGTCCTTATTATTTGGTGAAAAATGTAACTCAACAAGTAATACTTTATTACTGTAAATTTTTTTTTTTTTAAGAGTAGAACAATAGAAGTTAGGTATGTCTGACCAAAAACAAAAAAGTTGGATGAATATCCTCTCTAGGTCCTCTTTGTGAGGATACTAGGGATCAACTCATCTCAGTCTTTCATCGTACATCATGCACTTAACTTTATTAAGTACTGTTTGTGTTCAATTTTATATAAAAAATTCAAAATGATTTCTGACCGTATGATGACTAATGAATAGATACGATAAACCCTTAGGATTCTCACAAAGAGAATCCAAATAGCACCCTGTTCCAAAAAAGTTGGCTATGTTGACCAGATTGTGTTAAGCTACCTACCTTTGTACAGTAATGTAGACGACCCAAATGCCCCAAACCATGAGAGCCTTTGAAAGGTCCTCCTCCTCCCCCTCCATAGACAAATGAAGCCTCTCTCTCTCTCCCCCTACAATATTTTGTGGTCTCCCTATTTATAGATATATAATTCCTATACCAAAACTCAAAACTCAAACCCTCGGTTATTGTTCACGGACAGTGGAGTGGCGAAAATGCCCCCCAAAATGATCTTCTTAGTGTTATTTTCCCCACTTTTGCACAGCAAAATGGCGATTTTACCCATCGTCTCCGCCGGGTCGACCATCGCTGGGGTTCCTGTTCAACTTCTTTGCTTTTTGTTTTTCTGATTTCCATCTCTCTTGTCTCTCGCGATTCTTATTTTGCAAGCTGCATCTTTTTCTATCTCACACTCCCTTTTTTCCTTGTCCAGCCTTTGCATATTTCTGGCCTCCGTTCCCAACTTCTGTTTGGTAAATTTTCTCAATTCTACGAATTTATTTGTGCCCTTTTTGGATTCCATTGGAATCCGTTTTTTACCCACATAACCTAACGTTTTCTGGTAAGCTTTCTAGCCTTTTTCAGTCTACTCGATTAATTTTTTATGGTGGTTTGCATGTGGCTATCTGATCTAGTTTGATTTTTGCTTGCAGGAAACATTGGTCTTCGAATTTTGGGGGTTTTTGTATGCAAGCTTGCACGCCCTTTGTGATCAAGGTATATAATTTTTGTTTTTCGTATTGAATCTTTCGTTGAACAAGTTTTTTTTTTTGTTTGTGTGTTTCATTTCTGAGTGTGGGTGTATGATTTTGTTGGCCGTGTTCTGTTTGCAAATTCGTTAGCTGTAAAAGATAAAGGTCGTACCCAGTGCACAAGGCTCCCGCTTTACGCAGGGTCTGGGAGAGGTGAATGTCGGCTAGCCTTACCCCCATTCGTTAGCTGTAAAAGATAAATAAATAAATTTGGGGTTTTTGTTTGTGTGTTCGGATTTGAATGTTGGTGTATGATTTGGTATGCTTCCGGACTTCCAGTCCACAGTTGAGAGACAAGGAAGTTTCAAGATATGAAAGTTTAGGGTTTTTGTTTCGCCACGAAGTAAAGGTAAGTCTTTTCTGGATTTTACCATTTGTGGTATTACTATTTTCTTCTCAATTTTAATTGTTTATAGCAATCAATTTTCCCTAATTTTCCTTCGGTTTTCTCTTATGAGTATTTTTTATTAGGCTTTTTGTGTCCTAATTCCTTAGTCACCTTTCACCAACTAATTGGTTTTGCTATGGTAGTCCTTCGTCTATTTATATATCCTAATCATTTTTTCTGTTTATCCTAATCATTTTTCTGTTTATCCTAGTTATTTTTGTGTTATATCTTTTCTGACTCGGATCATATTGACGAAATTACATAGCAATACGACAAGTGACCACATGAATTACAATCTGATGAATTACAATCCAATGAATGAGTTAGAAACTAAAAATACATTAGTTTCATCAATATGTTGATCAAATGAATGAGTTAGAAGCTGAAAATTACAATAGTTTCTTACTGCTTTTATTACTGAACATATTTTGTGTATATGTAGTGCTTTATTTTCAAGGTTTTTTCTTTCAACACCATGTGAATGTATGAATGGTGATTTGAGGAAAATGTAGACATGGCTTTCACCATATTTCGATGTTTAATTATGCAGTGGTATTGAAGCTAAGCAACCTAACTCAGCCATTAAAAATTGTGCTCGAGTTTAGTGTATTAAGAATGGGGAAGGAGTTTAAGGTCGAAGTGGAAGTGAATGGCCGTGTTCGCCATAAGAATTTATTGAGGTTGCTTGGTTATTCAACTGAAGGAGCTCATAGGTAATTTTTATATTCATTTACTATATCCTGTAATCTTTCGAGTTTTGATCTTTTACCAAGTTGTGTTTTGTTTTTTAAATGCTTCAAGTTCATGGTGATGAAAGCTACTATATTTAAAATCGTCACTTTTTAGTTCTTTCCATTTTTCAATGTATCAGACAACTTGGTTCTAAGATTAGTACATAGTTATATTCTTTTTTATCTTTCAGATTTAAAAACAACGATTGGGCAGTTCTCTCTGGTAATTGTGTGGATGGAGTTGGTTTCCTTTCTCCACTTTTACTAATTTTATTTAAGTTCATCCATGCCATATAATTGTTTTGGGAGTTATTTGGAATTTAATTCAACTCTTCTGTGTTTCATTTAACGAAGATTCGAAATTTATTAAATAGTTTACTAATTTTGTGTGTTTTTTTCCTTAAAACATGTGACTCAACTTTTTCTCTTAGAGCGAAGAACATGCATTCACGTTACTTAGGGTTGTCCGCAATAGAAACTTACAGGTTAGTTCATTTCATTAGTATTTCATTTTACTTGAAACATCTCGACATTATATTATTTAGCGAGATAACACATTCTTTGTTTTTATGCAGAAACCTTTGGCCTAGGCTTGAAAATTTTGTCTTTGGCTGACTGATCAATGCTGACAGGTAAAGTTATAGTTATTTATAAGAACTTCTTGAATATTCTTAGATCTCAGGTCTATTTGGGGCGGGTGTTTTGCCAGTTGGAGTTCATTTTGGGAATTGATTGACGGTTTTGGTTTTAGGAGAGAGCGGCCCCTGTTTTCTGGGATGAATCCTCCTGCCTTGCCGTATTCATTGCAATATCATCGAAGGGTCAATATTTCTAGTATTTTTGTTTTTGTTTTTGCTACATGTTGATGCATGTTAAGCCTGCTTTCTTCCAACCTTAAATGCATCCTCTTTTCTATTTGACGAACTATTGATACACACACACACACACACACACACACACACACACATATATATATATGTATAATTTTGCTTTGGCTACATCATGATGCATGTTTGTTCTTTGCGATTTTTTTGTTGGGGGTAAGGTAAGTGATTTGTTGAGTTGTAATTTTTGTTGGGGGTATGTTCGTGTTATACAAACAGTAAAATCACAAAAGACTTTATATTGTAAACCATTTTAATAGTAGATTGTTACTAGATTTATCTAATTGCAAAAGTTTGATATTTTTATTTTCTGAGTTAAGCATTTAGCTCCTGGTTTCCACAAAATCAGTATTTAAATAATTTTTTTCTATAAGAATGCGATGATGATATTTTTTTCCCAACAAATTTACATTTGTATGTGGTTGTGATGAATATGCCTTATATGTTGTGTTGTAGATTATTTGGGTCGGTATTGGAATACATCTTTTGTAATCTGAAGCCTATTACTGATTTAGCATTTGCAAATGGGTATTCTGCTTAAATTTACTTTATTTTATTTTATGATTTTGAATGTTTTCTTTGTACCTTCCAATCTTGCATGTAGGTGTATAATTTGGTTTTGTCATTAAGATGAGCAATTTCAAATGCTTCCTTTGGGGGTTTTCTCAAACAAATAGTTGAAATATCTTATATTAGTTAATGTTATTACGTTGATTGTTCATATTATTTGCTTGCATTTCCTTTTCTTATGATTTATTTAAAAAGATAAATTTGCTTAAATTAGTTTGGTTACTTTACAAGAAATCTTATATGGATTTTTAATCGACGAATTCCAGTTTCTAACACTGCATTTTCTTCAATTGTAGGTATTTGAACGTTATATGTCTAAATTTTGTTCAATAATTAGAAAGAACCTTTTGTTCACTAGGTAAAAGCCTATTGCTTGTATAGCATAAAACTATTCTTACAAAATCAAAGTATACAGTGTATACATATGCAGCAGATACGTTGGAAATAAAGTACAATATAAAATATTTTTGTTTTATTGATTAATTGACTAACTTCGTGATGGTCATTTGAGGCTATACAAACTAAATTTGTTGTAGGTAAGCTCATATTTAGGTAAGAACCATGAATGTCTCATCGTTGTCAATTTTTGCTTATTCCAGCTTCACATTATTCTAAAGCTGTAATTATGGAAAGAAAAAAAAGTTTCCAACTATGACACCCAAGAAAGGTAGTAGCTTCTCTTTCTTTGTTAACTTATTAAAAATGATTTCCTAAGCAGTTTTGTTTTTAATTTATTCATTTGCAGTGTGGAAAATTTGTGATTATCTCATTGACCCCGCCCTTTACTGCCCGCACAAGTGGTCGACGTTCCGAATCGCTTTTTGTAAGTAATGTTTTAGTCTTTGTAATATTTTACTCTTTAAATTATTGTTGTGATGTTCTAAATCATCAAATTAGGTATAAGATCAGTGGATCTGCTGAATATGATAATATCATGCAACAATGTGGTGAGCTTTTTCACATTGCATTATAATATTTAATATATAGAATTAAGCATTGTAACTTTCAGTAATCTTTTTCTTTTGAGTGATGTATTTCATATATTGTCTCCTCCAACTAAGCTCTTGAAAAGCTTTTCTATAAAACTTATAGTTGGGTAAAGTGTCTTATCCATCCATTAATCCTTTACCAAAATAAGCAAATCATTTTAATTAGTTTATGCCAGATCATATGAATTATGAGGTTACTATTTTGATTGTTTAATTACCCATGTTTCTAACACTGCATTCCTTTTTTTTAATAAATGTGCTTCATTTTTTGTTCTGAAATGTAGTTTACAAAGGAAAATCCATATGCAAACTAATCTACTACAACTCAAAGTTAAAGATCAGGAAGAGCTCATGAAAGAAGCAGTGACAAGCATTTTACAAACGTCTCGTAGTTTTCATTCAACAATCCAGGCGTATACAGTCACTGGGTTGGAATTTATATGCGTCTTATGTTTCTACTCCCTGGTTTGGTAAAGAAGAAACTTATATTTTGTTTTACATTTAACTCAGTATAAATTTTAGGGGTTGTGTTTTTAGTATTTTCGGGTCTGAGTTCTGTATATATCAGAATAACACTAACTTTTTGTATGTTTTGTGAATTTGTTGTTATTCTAGCAGGAACTGCCATGGTGGCAGGGAACAAACATAAAAGCAGTGTTATTCCAGAATTTGATAATATTATTCAACAATGTGGTGAGCTTTCTCATTACATTGGGTACGATTGTTAAAACTTTCAATTCATTGTACCTATATTGAAACAATTTTTTATGATACAATCTTATATATTTCGAATATAATCTTTCATACAATTTCTAATTCCACAGCAATGCGCTGGTGGTAATTTGTAGTATATATCTAAGTGTTATTTATTTTTTTTATGTAAATTGAATAAATTTTACAAAAATAAAGAAACAAAAATAAACGATATGTGCAGAAGAACAAAAACCATTTATTTCTGTCTTTGACCAATTAACCCTGTAAAGTTGTGTTTGAATGGTATATTTTAGTTTTGTGGCTTTTGTTTTGTCACCACAATCATTTTCCATGTACTGAGTGTTTATTTTTTACCTTAGATTTGGTAGCTTTTTTGAAAAGAAACCTATGAGGAGGGTCCATTTGGATAAACCAGGCACTTTAAAACACAAACCAAATTATAGAAATTTACTGATTGTTTTTCATATAAATTTCATGTAATGTGGGAGGATTCCAATTTCTCAGTTCCATTTGGATAAACCAGGCACTTTAAAACACAAACCAAATTATAGAAATTTACTGATTGTTTTTCATATAAATTCCATGTAATGTGGGAGGATTCCAATTTCTCAGTTACATGTGTCTAGAATTATAACATGTTTACTTCTCAACACGAGTGGAGGTAGGGGGCAATGCATGCTTCTGACCCCAACAAAATGCATGTGTTAACTACAATCCTCTTAGTTCATCTCATTCTTGGTTTTGAGAGTACTTGATTACTGATTAAGGTGGGTTTAGGAAAATTAGGGCTCATTTAGATGTGCTTTTAAAATGACCGAAAGTTCTTTTAGAGAAAATGTTTTTTGATTCCAAAAGCACTTAAAGTGCTTTTCCAGAATTTACTTGTATTTTTACTAAGGATTGATTCCAAAAAAAAAAAATCACTAAAAACGCTTTCAGTCATTTTAAAAACACATCCAAACGAGCTTTTAATTGTTATACTGATTTTACAACATTTAAGCATTAAAAGAACTAATCTAAAAAAATGGTGGGTCTGTAAAATCATATAAGTGTGATATCATGGGTCTAATAGAGGGTCAGATCTGATTGGCAATCACGATTTACTTTTTGATCATTTGAGAGCATCTCTAAAGTAGATATCAAATATCATATGTTAAAATTTTGGTTGATGGCTGATGTGATTAATTGAATACATATGTTAAGTCTTCTTCATTTTTAATGGATGTGTCAAATATTTATTTTATTATTATGTTGGACCACATAATTACATTAACTATTAAAAAAGTATTAAAAATAATTTTAGTTTTTATTATATTGGTTGTCAATGAGACTCATACATTAAAAAATTAAATAAAAATATTTGATTCGTTTGTTCATTGTCAAAAAAGACAGCTAGAAAGCAATAAGTCAAATGGCTTAGCTGCCATGTCATATATGGCATCTCAATTGGAGAATTGTGACGACCTGTCCCTAATTTTCTATGTAATTTCTCCCCGAGTGTGTAAATTGACATTTTTTTCTTGGTTGGCAATGTGACGTGGATGTAGTATTCAACGTTTATTTTATTTTTCCTAGTAGCATAATTAAATAGTACCTGTTGTTACGAACGCATGAGTGCGAGTTAGACCTGAATCGGAGCTATAACGAAAAAGTTGCGCTCAGTCAAAATACATTAACAGCAGGTAGAATTGTGCACACATGTGTGCTAATTTATCAGTGTTGGAAACATTGTTTTTGATAAGGAGACGGATTTTTGTGTACGACTTACTGTACCAAAATCTGAAAACCTTATCATTTTCTTCTTTTAAAAACTGTCCCGTGTGCTTTAAAACTTCACAACCAATCTTTTTCCCTCATTTCGCTGTTCACCAATCAACATCTCTCCACAATTCCCTCACCAATCAGAGAACCCACTCCTCTCACCTCTCCGCCAATCAGAACACACTCATTCTTTTTTTCTCTTCTCTCTGCAACTCCCTTAAACAATCACCAAATCTCTTAGATCGAGCTCACAAACACCACCATTGTACTCCTCTCAAACCCGTGAACCTAGCCGATGGTGAAATGATTGAGTTTTGACTCCTCATCACAGAAGCTTCGACTCAGTGAGTTTTCCTCCAATGAGTTTTAGGCCGAGTTACAAGGTTTTAGAATGTATGGAAGCTTCTACACAACTCCCTAGGGTCCCTAGACTATGTTTGGAGTCGAGTTGACATCAAAACAAGCGAGTTCGAGGAGTTGAAGTTTAGGCCAAACCTTTCGAGGCTTTTTCAAGCCATTTCCTGTCCATTTTTAGACTTTTGAAAGGTACGATCTTGTTCTACGCTTCATAAGCTTCATTTTCATATAAAGTGCATAAAAATGGTTGAGAAATAAAGAAGATATGAAGCTTTGAAAATTTTCCCAATTTCTGGCAAAAATTTCCAATTTTCGACGAAACCAGACGATGGCGACCGGCAGAAGCTCATTGGAGAAGACGAAGAATATTCCGGCAAAGTTGACGGAATATTCTAACGGCGTCAGGTAACTTCGTTACTATTTAATGGAATATTCCGTCAATTCTGACGAAATATTCCTAACGTTCGTCAGTCACTGTCAGGTGCATGGCCTGCGCGTGGGCGCGCGTGTGGTCGTGGCCTAGGCGGCGCATAAGGGCGCGTCCATGACTTTGTGTAGATCATTTTCGTATATTCAAACCTTCCATTTGAGCAAAGTATGGGAGATTTACCTAGCCTTTTTGAATAAGTCCTATTTAATTTATTAGTTTAGTTATTTCACATATAGGTGAAAATTATCCCGAGGACGTACGAGGTCAAGTGAGGCTAGGTGGCTACGATCCAACCACGTACCAGTGAGTGGACATTTTATTTTCGTATATATATATACCTTATAGTTTCAACAAATGCTTTTGAATTGATTTATGCATATCATGCCACTATGGTTTTTAGATTGATATTATGCCTATTTGGCCTTGATTAAATATGTTATAAGAAATGTTATATTGCTATGAAATGCCAAAATAATCCTATGGGATGCACATGTACGTTTATTATGTTGACTAGAATTATTGAATGGTTATGGCATGTTTATATTTATGCATGTAGTCTGCTCATCATTGTTGCACCCCGGTATTAGTGCTCGCTCAGGGCCAGGGCTAGTCTTTCACGTGTATGTTCACCTCTGCACCGCATGCTCCCCTTGGATCCAAGTAGGTGCCAGTCATGTCATACAGGTTGCATTAGATAACTCCGACTCGTAGATGACTGCGATTATCGCTATTCTTCACGTGATTGTAGCACTAGAGTGTACTTATACATTACACCACAGTCTTGTTCATGTCAGAAACTATCTGCATGAACTCGTGTGCTAGCGTAGATTGATGAGCAACCTGTTTTCATTATGCTATTGTTGAGATATTGTAGTTTGACATATTTCTGGCATCATTGTTATTTACAGTTGTTTTCATACTTATACGTAGTATGATTTTCTGGAAACTATACACGATTTACAACGAGGGGTTAGTATGTTCAGAAAATAAATGTGTTTTATAAACCTTTGTTTTTGTGCCCACTCACCCTTCTATTTTTTCGCCCCTCCAGGTCTTAGACAGCTGAATTTTGTGTGGCATACGAGAAAACTCTGGCGGGTTCTGACATATCTAAATAAATGTAGGGAGCCTTTCTTGGTTGTGTATTAAGCAGTATAATTAGTTCTGATTGCACTCTTTTGTTACCTATGCTCTAAATATTTGTATTCTATGGGTTCTACCCACTATTGCGCACTCACTTTATTAGTTAAATAAGTTCTAGTTTCGGTTTTAAATTATTCACATTATTTCATCACTTATAGTTTTGGTTACATCACCTTCGGGTGATTGCCAACATGCCTTGACTTCAGTCAGGGTGTGTCAAGAACATGAATGTCTTTAAATCTTATATGGCATATTTGACATCTCCTTTAGAGATGATCTAGGCTAATTGCCTTTTTTATTATTGTTTATTAACTTGAGGGAAGTAAAAAATTAGAATAAGGCTTATTAATTGAAATGCCCCTGAATTTTCATTTAGTCTTAATTTATCCCCTAAAACTGGTTTTGTCTCACTTTGCCTTGCAACTGACATTTTTTGATTCTTTTGGTCTCACTTCACCCATTGTTTCGTTAAAGAAACGTTAAAATTGAAGTGCATTTTGGACACTTCATTTTTACACACCTCTTAAAAAATGTCAGTTAAAGTCGAAATTCTAATTATTTATTGCCAATTAGAGTAAGTGACTAAGCAATGTGAAGCCTTTGGTTAAAAAATGTGCACATTTGCCTTAGATAACTTTTTTGTTTAGGTTTTTGGGTTTGCATTAGAAGTATTTTGGACATAGTAGTTTAATGGTTTTTTTATTGCCAATTAGAGTAAGTGACTAAGCACTGTGAAGCCTTTGGTTAAAAAATGTGCACATTTGCCTTAGATAACTTTTTTGTTTAGGTTTTTGGGTTTGCATTAGAAGTATTTTGGACATAGTAGTTTAATGGTTTTTTTATTTATTACTAGCAAAGGTCACCCACTCTTAGTGTTTACAAATATAATTTTTATAATTTTTAAATATTTGTTTTTTATTTTTTTATGAGAGGAGTTATTTGTTTTTAATAGGTTGGTTAGCATCCAAAAAAAAATAGGGGTTGGCAGAGAGAGAGAGAGAGAGAGAGAGAGAGAGAGAGAGAGAGAGAGAGAGAGAGAGAGAGAGAGAGAGAGAGAGAGAGAGAGAGAGAGAGTTGGGAGGGTATTGATAAAGTGACATAGTTGTGAGTGAGTTGGGAGGGTATTGATAAAGTGACATAGTTGTGAGTTTTTTTTTTAAAAAAAAAAAAGTAAAAACTTAGTTGTACAAAATTACTTTAATGCCCACATTGTTTTCTTTTCTAATATCTTCTTTCAATTTTGTATTAAAGGGTATAGTAGTAATTTTATTAGTTTTTGGTTGACAAACAATATTTTATTAATATGTAGTTTAGATTATATATGATGCAATTGTTCTAAGATCAATTTTTTTATGGTGAAACTTGTGATTAGGCCAACTTTGATTAGAAATATATTTTTGAATAGGTTGATCATGTTTTCTTTATGATGAGTATTTTTCAAGTGCAAAATTTCCATTGAGCCAGTACATGGATGTTTGGCAAATGAAGCGACTCTAGGAACAAAATTGTAACCTTTATTTTGGTTGATATAATGATTATGCTGCATTAATTTTTTTCTATTGATTGAATAGTTTATTTTAAAAAAGTGAAATGTACAAACCTTTTAATTTAATATTTCTTTGACAGAATTGGGTGAAGTGAGATCAAAAGAGTTAAAAATGTCAGTTTCAAGGGGTAAAGTAAGACAAAATGTTAGTAAACTGAGACTAAATGTCAGTTTCAGATGGTAAATTTAGACTAAATGTTAGTTTCAATGAACATTTCAATTAACAAGCCATTATGATAAATTAGTCTTCTCATACCCATTATGGGCAAGTAAATATGTTATATTACTGTTGTGAGCCATAGTGCAATATACGTATTTTCCACTTGGCAGTTTATCTTGAGTGATGTTATCTACACACTTATTTTTACATCCCACACACCTATATTAATTTTTGTTCTTTAATCTTCTTCATTATTCGATATGATAGACGGTAAATTAAGAAGAGTATAGAAGATCAAAAAAGGTGTGTGGATAGCACAACTCTTTATCTTTAGGAGATGCACCCCTAGTTAATCTGGCCTTGTTTTATCGTTAAATAAAACTATGAATGCTATTTAACACCAAGCGTTTGTAGTCCAACGGTTAGGATAATTGCCTTCCAAGCAATAGACCCGGGTTCGACTCCCGGCAAACGCATTATCTCAATTGTTTATTTTGTTTATTATTTATTTATTTTTATCTCAACTTCGCATGTGTTGAATTGGATTCCATATATTCCCCCAACAAAAAGGAAAAGGAATGATCCACTGCCAGGAGTAGATATGATATTCGTGTCGTGTTTTCCGTGTTTGTGTCATTTTCATGTCATACCTAATATTTTAACGGGTTATGTCGTGTAATAACAGTTAAAATAAACGGATAAAATGACCCGACCCGAAATCGACCTAATAATATTAATAGGTGGGTTCGACTCCCGGCAAACGCATTATCTCAATTGTTTATTTTGTTTATTATTTATTTATTTTTATCTCAACTTCGCATGTGTTGAATTGGGTTCCATATATTCCCCCAACAAAAAGGAAAAGGAATGTTCCACTGCAAGGAGTAGATATGATATTCGTGTCGTGTTTTCCGTGTTTGTGTCATTTTCATGTCATACCTAATATTTTAACGGGTCATGTCGTGTAATAACAGTTAAAATAAACGGATAAAATGACCCGACCCGAAATCGACCTAATAATATTAATAGGTAATATGACCCGACCGGTTACCTGTTAAGGGAAATATATTTTAAACCAATAAATAATCAAATGAAAAACATGATACTAAATAAGTATATACATACCATATTATCACATTCAAAACATAAAAACGCATTTATCTTTCAAATATTATATATTTACATACCCAAAATAAGAGCGTAAAAAAAAAAAACATTAGAACATTACAAAATATCAAATGTTCAAAAGATTTGCAAAATTAAGGGAGTTATGTTTCAAGGTTTGGAACCTTGCGCATTTTCTTACAATCAAATTCTTCAATTTTCATCAATCACCATGGGAAACAGTATTTGAACTTTGGCTTGATATATTGTCTTCAACAGTTATATTGATGATATTTTCAGTGAGGCTTTCTACATTAACACTCTCTTCTCATTTATCCTATGGCTATTGTTTAAGTAAAGTCTTTAATAGTTTTTTAATTAATGTAGAAGTGTGAAAAATATAGAAAAAAATATATAAACGCTCGTAATGACAAACTTTACAACTTTTATGAATGGCTTAACTTTGAAATGTGCCACTATAATCATATATATCATAGATCAAAATTTAACCGTCGATTGTTGTTTACATTTATGCTTCATTTTTCTCACCAAATTTTGTTTTTGTCAGATTTTGTTTTTTGAAAACATGATGTATTAGAGGATATAGGAAGATGAACAGTTCGGATCATTGATATTATGTTCAGAGTTTTACCGTTAGTGAAAATATTGCTTGGTGTTTATAAAGTCTCTACAAACTATATAACATCGACTCATATTTCAATTAACAGTAAATATCGGGACGTGAAATCAAAGATCCGAACCGTTCATCTTCCTACATCCCCTAGAAGATCATGTTTTCAAAAAAGAAAATTTTAAAAATGAAATTCAATATAAAGAATAAAGCCTAAACAACAATCGACAATTATATACAAATTTAAGGTTCATGAATTATAGTGTCAGTTTTCGAAATTGACCCCTTCATGAAAGTTGTAAAGCTTTTCAATACGAGTGATTGTATATATATATTTTACAATTCTTACACTTCTACAATAATTTATTAATTTTATTACTTTTACACTCAAATAAAAAAATACTATTCATGATGGTTTAGAGGGTTTTAAAAATCTAAACGATAATGTAAGTGTAACCATTGTTTACTCGTGGAGGAATGATGAATCACGAGTGTTTATATATTCTTTCACATTTTTCATACTTGTAGGGATGTCTTATTGCCTATACTAATACTATACTAGTTGATTTTAATTTTGGACAACAACATGTTAAGAAAAATTTATCCTATTAATGATAATAAGAAACTCTCATAATAAAAATAAATAAATGAATAAAACTTAATTTTTTTAACTTATATAGAATAATAATACAAAATATATTTAATATAGAATATACCAATATATACAATATGGCTATTGTATTTTATAATAATTTTTTTAGTAATTAAACTTTAAAATTACAATATATTTTTTTTAACGCGTTACCCGTGTGTATACCCATTAAGAACCCATTAACGGGTCACCCGATAATGACCCGATTAATTATCGTGTTGACCTGAAACCTATTATTTTCGTGTCGTGTAAGAAAATGTCGAAGCTAGCCAGGAGTACAAACCGGATGTTGTTTAGACAAATTCCAAAAAAATTTCCGTTGCCGGGAGTCGAACCTGGATTAGACAAATTCCGATTTAAATTTGCTACAGCGGATTGTTGTTCTATTATCTTCAATTATTTAATTTATATTATCATGTAAGCAAAATAGTTTTTTTTTTCCTTATAAAGAAAAGAAATAAATGAAAAATAATTTTCTATTGCCAGAGTCGAACCCGTATTAGACAGATTCCAATTTTAATTTTTTACAACAAATTGTTGTTCTATTATCTTCAATTGTTTGTTTATAGTTCCTCACACCATCACACAGGCCCAAACTCAGAATTTATAAACAAATTAACTGTTCAAAGCTAGCAAGAATCCGTTGTAGAAAAATAAAACTGGATTATTTGATTAAAGGGTAAATCGCCAAAATGGTCCTTAAGATTTGCATAACTCATCACTTTGGTCCCTGAGAGTCTAAATCGATAAAAGTGGTCCCTGAGATTGTTCACCATCCATCATTTTGGTCATTCCGTTAAAAACTCCGTTAAGTGGAGCTCTTGGCTGGAAGTTTGGGCAATTTCAAAGCTTCATAACTCAATCGTTTTTGAACCAAATTCGACCCATAATATTTCAAAATGAAGATAGGAAAGTGTAGAATAAGATTATACCTATTTTAAAGCCCAATGGTTGCCGGAGATTGCCGGAAAATAGCCTCAAAGTTGACTGGTCCGAGTGAAAACTTGAAAACTCGCCGGAAACTAGGTAAACTTTAAACGTTCATAACTTCTTCAATACTCAATGAAATCAAGTGATTCAAAAACGAAAATCATACTTCTCGACTCGAAAAAGAGAATGGTATCTTTTTTTTATGGCTAAATCGCTGTGGTTTGATCGGAAAATGGCTCGAAAGTGGCTGTCTTGGTCTCGAGTTAGTCACTTTCGAGCAATTTTCCGGCCAAAAAGCGGCGAGTTAGCCGTAAAAAAAGGTACCATTATCTTCATCTCATCGAGAAGTATGATTTTCATTTTTGAATCACTTGATTTCGTTGAGTATTGAAGAAGTTATGAACGTTTAAAGTTTACCCAGTTTCCGGTGAGTTTTCAAGTTTTCACTCGGACCAGTCAACTTTGAGGCTATTTTCTGGCCATCGCTGGCAACCATTGGGCTTTGAAATAGGTATAATCTTATTCTACCATTTCCTATCTTCATTTTGATATATTATAGGTCGAATTTGGTTAAGAAACGATTGAGTTACGAAGCTTTGAAAATTGCCCAAACTTCTTGCCAAGAGCTCCTGGACACTTAACGGAATGACCAAAATGATGGATGATGGACAATCTCAGGACCACTTTTATCGATTTGGAATCTCATGGACCAAAATGATGAGTTATGCAAATCTCAAGGACCATTTTGGTGATTTACCCTTGATTAAAAGGCGGGTTTGACTCCCGGCAGCGGAATTATTTTTTTCATGAAATAAGACTTCTCTTTAGCTCTAAAATGTCAATCAAGATGAAACATATATGGTATTCTTTTTTTTTTTTAATACACATTTACATCACTCTGTCGTGAAGAAAAAAAAATGTACATCACCAAAGTATTGACGAAATATACCAAAAAAGTATAGCTTAAAAAACCTAATCAAATTGAAAAATTGGACTTCAATCGTATGAGGCAGTGTATGAGGTATTTCTAGAGCCAAATTCAGTTGTTGGAGCAGAATAAGATACTGATAAGTAAACCGCACTTGCCCTCGGCCCTGGCCTCGTATCCTGCAATTTGAATAGCTTCTCATTAGGATTCATAAGAATTTGTGCCACCTTCCTCATCTTTGGTCTCAGCATAGAATATGTGTGCAAGCATGCAAGCCCTACAATCAATGTCCTTTTCACTTGTTCCTCCTCAAATTTTCTGTCCAACGTTTGGTCCACACAATCAACCAACGCATTTTTCGAATACGAATTCCAAATGTGTTCTACTATACTGTAATTGTCCATGAACCCTTTTGATCTTCTCCCACATATTACTTCTAGTACCACCATTCCAAAGCTGTATACATCTGACTCTGGAGTAGCTTTTGCAGATAACCCTAGTCTTCCGGGGCAATGTCTGCGGGAGTTCCTGCCAAAGGGATTGTAATTGATGAGTCTTGGTGCATTAGTCTAGCTAGCCTGAAATCGCCTAGATGAGCATTGTAACCGGAGTTCAACATCACATTATTTGGTTTAATGTCTCTGTGCACCACAGGGTTGCCACACTCTTAGAGTAATGCTGATGCCAATCCTGTTAAGATCTTGTACCTTGTTCTCCAATCAAGGTATGGTTTTCCAATGTATTAACCAAGGCTTCTATTAGGCATGTATTCGTGACACCAACCTTGTAGTTGCACTATGTTCTTGTGCCTTAGGCACCCAATGGTACATATTTCTGCTAAGTGCTCCCTTTCACCTGTTGTGGGTTTTTGACAAAAAAATTGTCTCAGTAAACAGAAATCGAAAGAAACTATTAGGAAAATAATTGCAGTACCCAAACAAAAAAGTGTTACATTGGTTATATTTGTGTACCATATTGGTGTAACTTTTTGTGAATTATAAAACAATGCAAATAGAACAAACCTTTTTTGGAGGCTGCTGAAATCTTCTTGACAGCAACAATTTTAGGAGGATGTGATGAGAGGATGCCTTTGTAAACAACTCCAAATGCACTTGCACCCAGCAGATTTTCCTTACTGAAGTTCTGAGTGGCAATTAAAATCTGTTTGTAAGTGAACATTTCCGGAGCATTTGCAGTTGTTCTTGACTGGCTTTCTATATCCTCTCCATCCCTATGATTTCTCATTACAACTTTCGAAATCAAGGGGTAAGTGCAGGCTATCAAAAGTGCTACACCCAAGAAAATAGGAAGATCAACGGCTCATATGTTCTTAATATTTTTGTGATGACCTTTCTCAGCAGGCCCTAAGGGTATTCCTGGCAATTCAACTGATGTGAAAACCCAATCAAGGACTTGATGGGTCTCTGGGAGGGCCCCAGTGGAGGCGGTGAAGCAACATAAATTGTGAGCTTGAGACAATTTTAGACATGTCAATTGACTGGTTGAGGATGCTTATCAGTGCTGCTGGGTTATCAGTGTACCCAGCAGAAATTTGGAGGATCTGACTCCAACCATCATAGGCAATTGTGAATCTGATGTCTCTTCCACTCTTGAGATGAATTCCTGAGGTGTTGAGACTCTTTGCCACAACTGGGTTCGTTATGCTTGTTGTGTCAATCACTTTGTGATTCCCATCTGGATCATCAAACTCATTGTTCGTGAAAGTATCTATAGCTCAATTGCCATTTGTTTAACCACCCCACCTAATTTTTAGACAACATCAAATAAATTTGAAAAAATAATATACCAAAGTTGCCAAATTCAGCAATTCTAGCAATATATTATGAAACATTAAATGTGGTTAGTAGTGGTATGAAGGTGGGTAGAGTGATGGACATGAATATGATAGGTTTAGGTTCGAAACCTTCCGATAAGACAAAAGAAGAAAATCAATCATGAAATGTTTAGTAGTAAGCCACATTATGTGACTTGCAATGAGTTTCATTAACAATTGACAAACTAATGTAACTAATAAATGTGGTCATTCTAGCATTAGTTTAAAAAGAATTATGTGTGCCTTGCCAATCAAGAAATAGAACTTTAACATATTAACTAACCTTGAGTTGATCTATCAAGGAGTCCAAGCAATGAGCCATAGCTATCAGGAGGAGAAGGACTAGTGTTTTGTGCAAAAATAAAAGCCATTCCGTCTCCAGCTCCAGTTGTATTTGGAAAGGCAGAAATCCTAACAATGAAGGTGGTGGAGATAAACGCCGGCCAGGTGAGCATCGGGAGGCAATACAAAACCCTTCCAATTAGGGGTGGGTTGGAAAAACAGAAAACCGAAAAAAACCAGACCGAAAACCGAACCGAGGCCGAAGAAACCGAACCAAAAAAAAAAAACTGAACTGAATCTGGTTGGTTCGATTTCGGTTTCTAGGGTTTGAAAACCGAACCGAACCGTGTAATTATTTTATTAATTAATAATCCTATCCGAGAATGTCGTCGTTTATTGTGTAACCCTGCGTATTCCTGATTCCTCTTTCCCATTTTCTCAGTTCGACTTCGCGCAGCCCCCTGACCCTCCTCTTTCTCTCTCTCTCTCTCGATCTTCAATCCCTGATCCTCCTATCTTTCTGTCTTCAATCACTTATTCAAAGACTCAAACTCTCTGCCTCTCATTCCCAGCGACGACCCGTGACGGCGCGACCCTTGACGGTGCGACCCTTCTCAGTTCTCACTCTCAATCTCTCACACCTCGCCATGAGTCTATCATCTCGCCGTCAACTTCTTCTTGCCATTTTGAGTCTCAACAGAAAACGGTTAGTCTCACACTCTCATTTCTTGTAATTTAGATTAATGCATGTAGAATCGGAGAATACCCATGTTTTAGAAATTGTAATATTTGATCGATTATTCTCTGTCTTGATTGAAGACTTTGATGGTTTTCTGGGATTTTGAGAACCTGTTTGTGGGTATTGCTTTGAATTTTAGATGTATATATACACAATAAAACTATTGGTGGTTACTATTATTTGATTTCTTGCTCTGCACTCTTGTTTTAAGTTCATCTAAATCATTCCTTGAAATTTATACTCACGGGAGAGGTTTACAGTTTACACTATGTATTTTGGAATCCTATGGGAATCTGGAACTGGTCTTTTATTATGCAATTAGGTGGACCAATATGCGGAACCATAATTACAGTAAAAACATATTCATTCGACCACAATATTACCCACCAACAACAAAATTAACAAGCTTATCTTGCTTAATTGTTAAAGAAATAATAGTAATAATGCGTCTTTCAACTATTTTTGAGAAAATGGAAGACAACTTTATCTTATTTTTAGCATATTTGATCTTCCAAGAGAGAATTAAGATATAAAATGAATGACGGTTTGTTTGAGGGTATTTAACGTGAAGTAATCACAGAGATATGAAATGTAGAGAGGTGTGAACAGAGGAGGGCATTGAACTGTGCTAGTTGTGCCTACCCAATTTTGGGTTCGACCTTCGACAAAGGATTTTCTTTTATGTTCTTTCCTTGTTGGTTATACATGTTGATTTTGATTTGATGTTAAAGTTACTTTAGTATAAGAACTGGTGAAGTATTCTAGTTATGGAAAGTTTGATTAGCATGGGGTTAACTACAAACTGCAAAGCAAATGGTGAGGTATTATATGAGTTGTCTGTCTGGTAGATATGTTAAACCAAGGTGCTGTCATTTCTTCGAGTCAGATTTTGTGAGGGGGTTTTAGTGTTAAGTGGATTTTACATATCATTTGATATATGTTTGATTTCATTTGGTTTATCACGATATACACCTCGTAGGTTTGTTATGTCTTATTCTTGCGGCATTTTTATATAAATTTTATACCAATAATCGAATCTGCACCAGTAACTGAATTTGCACCAATTTACTTTTGTACAAGTTTGTAGTACTAACTACTATCCTCTTATTATTTTGTGTGAATTAGATGAAGTCAAAGGTCTCAAGGTCCTCAAGCTCAAGTTCAAACTCAATGTCATCAAAATCAAATAGCCCTCAGGATCAAACAAACTCATCTTCGAGTAGAAATTTGGAATGCTTATTTTATCGATTATGTTGAAATTGGATTTTCATTTTATTTATACTCCTCTGGAAGTTGTATTACAAAATGGTTGCAAGTTGTTTTCTTAGATATTTTTTTTTTTTTTTTGCTATTGGAAAAAAAAAAAACTGAACCGGGCAAAAACAGAACCGAGAAAAACCGAACCGCATACAAACCGAACTGAACACAAATCGATAGAAAACCGAATCGAACAGTAATTTTGGTTCAGTTTTCGGTTTTGGCAAAAAACCAAACCGAATCAAACCGAAACCACGCATACTTCTAACCTTATACAATGGTGAAGAAGAAGATGATGAACTACTTAAATTGTCTTGTTGTGGGTTGTGGCTCTGGTGTGAGGCTCAAATACCCATTACTTGCTGTCACTGAGCCCATGCATAATAGGTCACCATTGCTACAGCTTTGAGGAGTGAAGGTGGAGAACGAGAAAGTGGTACGTGTTTGATCGTTCATGGAGCGCACAGAGGCTTGGCTGCTGATGAGAAAGGTAGAGAAGAAGAGAAGAAAAAACATGAACTGTAAATTGGAGGGAGCCATAGAGGCTTTGACTTAAAATTGTGTGGGTACTCGTATCATATGTGCATAATTATATAGGAAAATAAAGTTAATTGCTATTTTAATTTGGAGTCATACTGCTACTGAATTTTATGTTGTTTTTAGTTAATGTTTTCTTTCTAGTTTTGTGACAGGGAAACTTTGAATGGAGTTTTGGGTAATATTAAAATATTCCATTGTTTGTATGTGGTTTACTAAATTCTATTTGTACATGGTTTTTTTCATGATTTGGATTCCATCCGGATCCTCTTTGTGAGGATCCCTTACATTTTATCCACTCATCGTACATCGCGCAATCATAAATTATTTTGAATTTTTTTATTTAAAATTAACACAAATAGTACCTAATGAAAACTGATCGCACGATATAAGATGAACGGATAGGATGTGAGGATCCTAGGATCCCTAAGATCCTCACAAAGAGAATTCGAAGAGGATGCTCTTCCGTTTTTTCAACTCAATTTATATATATATATATATATTTTATGTTAAAAGGATGTTACTAGCCTTTTTATTATTCCGACCTTCTTGTTTTACCGCTCAACTTTTATGTTCATTTTAAAATGTCGCTTCATTTCATAATTATCTAATTGCTAACTCATTATTTAAAAATCAATTATTCAAAAATTAACTAAAACAAAAATATTTAGTTGAACTCTTTGATTAACATTTTCAAAATTTCGATGTTAAGTCAAAAACATCATTCATATATTTATTGGATAACAATTAAGTGACTAAATGATTTTGAATCTAGGTAATGTTTTTGTAAAGATAATCGTTAAAAAGTGTCTAAAAAAATTAACAGTTTGAATTATCATTTAATATTACAAAACAAGGATAATGAGTTGTAAATTAAAACGAGAAGGTTGCTAATAGTTCCATCTTTCAAATCCTCTTTGTATATGGTTTTGGTGGGTGCACATAGAGGAGACAAATTAATACATTGAGTTGTTAATAGGTATTTATTAAAACCCGTTCAACTTAACATCATCATAATAGAGAGTTAAGTTGATAATAGTGACGAAGGTGTAAGATGAAATCAAACCAAATAGTTCTTAATAGATGTCTATTAACAACTCAATATATTAATTTGTCATCTCTAATGTAAGATGAAATCAAATCAAATAGTTCTTAATAGATGTCTATTAACAACTCAATAGATTAATTTATCACCTCTAATTGCCAATACAACAAGATTTAACTGTTACATTGAGTAAAATTTTGACCAATGAACAAACTTTTGAAAAGTAAATTTTTGACTAATGAACAAATTTTTGTCTTTCTAACTAGCAGAAAAAGACAGAAGTTTGTTCAAAAGTAGCTCCAAAAACTTTATCACCAAAGAAAAGCGGTAAGCGGTAAGACCCCGCTGGTAATACAAAACAAGCCAAAGAATAAAAGGGTCTTATTCTATCTTTCATTTTACTTTCTTGAGTATTACAAGATTTATTATTTATTTGTATTATTTTTTAATAAAAGTTGGGAACCACTAAAACATATGGTTTTCATCTCTATTAAAAAAATAATCAAATGATTATACTAAGAATATAGCATTTTGTTTTCTTTTTTTCTTTTGGTTCTCTGATGGTGGTCGTACTGTGCCCACCTGGTTTACATGCAAAAAAGCTGAAACATGATAATCACGACTGTTAAAATACTTAGTTAACATGCAAAAATGTGTGAAAAAAGATGATCCAACTTAGCACATATAATTCATCACACTTGGTATATACATACGACCATGACTTTATATGTTCTTTCAATGTTGCGAGAGATGCCGGGGCCACGGGGGAGAGGGAGAAAAAGAGTGATTAAAATTAACACATAGATGAAGAGTACTTTAAGTGGTATTACTATATCACATAGTTTGTTTAACTGCTCAAAAGAAGGGTATTCAAATAATGATGTTAAAATTTTGCTTGTGAATTGATAGATAGAAGGAATTTGATATATCCTGTAGATTGAAGCCCAAAAGCTTATTTGTTGTTCGGTTTCAAAAGATAATATTTCTTTGAACCATTAATCATATCACACTTCTATAGTATGATAACGCGGTATAACTGTCCGTCAAAGGTTTTTCATACGTATTAATGATTATCGTTAGATACAGTTGCTATTCGAGAAAGGGAAATATGCCATTTTATTTTTTATGCGTTGTTTTTGTACGCTGTGTCATATAGAAATTTGAGCGCTAAAATGCACACTATTAAATGAGAAATTCCTAATATCGTATGTCTTCGCTAGCATTACGTTATATAGAAAAAATATATATATATATATAGAGAAAGTAAGTTCTAGCATTCCAATGAATGATATTAATTCTAATCCATAATTTTTTTTTAAACAAACGATATTATCTACGCTAATTAAGGGGAGGGGGTGGGTTTAGCCTTATAAAGGGCTAGCAATAATGTGGTTCAAATTACATTTGGCGAGAATCGAACCTAAGACCTCTCACTTACAAGTGAAGAAGAATACTACTCGACCGTAGTATTAAGTGTCAATTCTAATCCATAATTAAGCAAATAAAAAAAAATGTCACACTAACAAATAAGAGACTATGAATATTAAAGTTAGAAGTTTAAGTCTTTAGTTTGTAATTTTTTGTTTTCTTCTTTCTTGACATCATTAGAATACAAGTTAATTAGATGTTTCTGAGGTTTCAAAATATACTACAATTCAGAATATGGTAGAACATGGGGAAGTAAAATCAGGAATTGCATAGACTAAATCTGAAAAACTTAACCCATAAACAAAGCATTTTATTTTCATCCTTATATGACTTAAGTACAATGTCACAGCTCTCATGGCAAAAAGATGCAGGAAAAACCAGTAAACTTAAACATCAGAAACTGTGGCGCTTTGTCCTTTGGGGTGATCACCTCTACTCCCTTCGCTCATACTTCCTCGCCCAAATGTGTTTTCTGTTGATCCTGAACTTCGAAACTCGAGTCCCTCTCAGAACACGATCAACATAAACGACGGTACTCAACACCAGTTTAGCATACAAAGGTTGTTTATTAGGAGGAACATTTGCCATTTGCACACGTTCCACACAGGTTTCAGATCCCAAAAGTTCCATGAATAACTCCTTGACCTCATCCTGTGACACAGGGAAGCCTCTCGAAAATGTTAGGAACATAGTCCTATCATCCACTGACAGTTCAAGGAAAGGGCTCCAACCCCATATCCCTCCGGTAGGAACACCGTGGTTGATGGAGCTGTTGGGGTTAACTATTTTCAGGCTACCAAACAGCCGGTTAGGAAATAATGGGATTACAAAAGTATCCTCCGGACTAAAATGTACGTAGGAGCGCGGAAACAAAATCCGCTGCAAAATGTCAGTAAAAATTCTAGCACAGACATTGGTAACGAAATTTTTTACCCCACTGATTAATGTGTATCGGTTTATGCTGACGATTTGGAGTGAAATTTCCTTCCCCAGGAGCCTTTTAGTGAGGAGCAGGCTACCACAATTGGGTGCAGTTCTTGAAATGGTTCTAGGGCAATTGGTAGACTCTAAGCACTTCAAGCATTGGACAGCTTCATTAGCTAAACCATTGAGTACAGCGTTTGAAAGCCTCACCATCTTGTACACGAATTTGTTGTAGCCCTTCTCCTGGAGAAAGAGCCACAACGCCATAATCATCAAGGATTCTGCTAAGTCACGATGGAGAGCGAGTACCAATTGAGAAAAAATTTCTCGATTGGTGGTGTTGATAATGTGGAGCGCCTCTTGGCTAATTACAACGGAGGAGGACATTTTGACTGTGAGGTGGTATGTATCTAAGAGAAGAACTAAGAAAGTTGTGTGGTAAATAACTGGTACAAAGCTATATTATATAGGAGAAAAAAGTGTCAGGGTCCTTCATGTCACGTGACAATGCCTCATTCACGTGACACTTACATACACCAAATAATTTAATTAAAAGATGTCATGTGTTTAAAGTTGATAGTCACGTTAGGTAAGTTTTGTAACACCACGAAGCACACTAAGATATTTCCTAATTTCAAAATTTTCGATTGGGATTATGCAAGCACATGTAGATGCATGACAATTGTTTTTCGAGTGCAGAAGTTTATATAACCTCCCATATATGATGTTTTTTGTGGCATCCGTTCTTTAAACTCACAACAACTCCTATCACTTTGATTGGATTTCGTTCATGACATCCATATCCGGTGTGATTAATGTATTTGAATCACCTTTGGAGAGATGACATGCCAAGTGAGAAGCGTTACTGTTGTTGGACGTATAAAATGACAAAAATGTACACAGATTCATGTAAGAGATAAGTTGTTTTTCATATTTTTTATGAAAAAAAATCTTAAATTTAAACTTGCGGCTTTGTTCAAGAACTAGTTACATTGACCCACCAAAAATGTTAAATTGACTAACCAAGTTTAAATGGAGACAAAGATGCTGTAGAATAGTGAGTGATTCACGTTCAAACTAATAGTTTGCAACTCTATTTCAAGATAATCTTCCTAAAAATTGGGGTATTTAGATTTTCATCACTGGATAAAATTGTATTACATTAAAACCAAGTGTTGTATTGAATTTCGATTGAGTGTTACTAGACCCACCTTATTGTCCTATTCCCACCCCCTTCCTCTTCCTCCATCCCCCCCCCCTCCAAAAAAAAAAAAAAAAAAAACCCCTCCTCCTCCCTCCCTCCTCAATCTCACCCACCATAAAAAGTGAAAAAAAGTTAAAATATTATTTCCTACCCATTATTATTCCTAAAATAACCTCTAATATATAGCCCTTTATGTTAACCTAAAGAAATGTAGTGAGAGAAAGAGGGAAGTCGAGAGATTTGTAAAGAGAAATAAAAGAAGGAAAAACTTTATATATATTCTGTTTTCTTAGCAGTTAAGCAAATACATCTCTCAGTATTTATATGTTGAGCCATACACACCTTAACCTCCTTAACAGACTAACAACTCGACTAACTTTCTAATCGTCATACAAGTGGCAATATCCTAGCCTTACAATGTAATCTCTATCACTTTAAGCAAAAGAATAAAAAATGAGGAACACATGCCCAGCTGTTGATTCTCTCTTTCAATGAGATATTGCGGCTGTTAGCTAACCATGCCTTTTTACTTTTTCTTTTCTTTTATTTTCTTTTTTCTTCACCTCTCTCTACCTTGCGAAGGAGGAGCACAACCATAGCCAAAGCTTCAAACAAACCTCAGTATTGTCCTTGATTCATTAGAATTTTTGTTTTGGATAATCCGGAGGTGGTTTCTCTTAAATTTCAGGTAGACGGGTCATGGGCCCACTTTAATAACACCGATATTGTCCCTACTTGGCCACCTGCTCAATCCATCAGGTGTGGGGCTTTAATACAAAAGGTCTTGGTATTAGTTAGAGTGGGGTAATTCTATATAAATGGCTTGTTCTCAAGCCTTCTGGCCGATGTGGGACAGAGGAATTCTAACACTCCCCTGCACGTGAGACCCCATTTTATGGGTCACAAGTATAGTTCCACACATTGGCAACCACGTAGAGCCAAGCCGGGGCTCACCCGTTCGTGCTGGGCCAATGCACGTGGCATTTCTTAGCCTACGTGGAGCCAAGTCGGGGCTCACCCATTTACGCGGGGCCAAAAGGGGCCCACCCATTCACGTGGATGTACGGACCCGTCCCCTGACTCTGATATCATCTTAAATTTCAGGTAGACAGGTCATGGGCCCACTCCAATAACACTTATACTGTCCCCACTTGGCCACTTGCTCAATCAGTCAGGTGTGGGGTTTTAATACAAAAGGCCTTGGTATTAGTTAGAGTGTGGTAATTCTATATAAATGACTTGTTCTCAAGCCTTCTGGCCGATGTGGGATAGAGGAATTCTAACATCTTAAATTTCAGGTAGACAGGCCATGGGCCCATTCCAACAACACCGATACTGTCCCCACTTGGCCATCTGCTCAATCCGTCAGGTGTGGGGTTTTAATACGAAAGGCCTAGGTGTTAGTTAGAGTGGGGTAAATGACTTGTTCTCAAGCCTTATGGCCGATGTGGGACAAAAGAATTCTAACACTCCCCCGCACGTGAGACCCCATTTTATGGGTCACACGTGGAATTCCACACATTGGCAACCACGTGGAGTAAAGCTGGGGCTTACCCGTTCGCGTTGGGCCAATGCATGTGGCATCTCTTAGCCTACATGGAGCCAAGTCGGGGCTCACCCATTTGCGCGGGGCCAAAGGGGACCCACCCATTCACGTGGATGTACGGACCTGTCCCCTGGCTCTGATACCATCTTAAATTTTAGGTAGACGAGCCATGGGCCCATTCCAACAACACCTATACTGTCCCCACTTGGCCACCTGCTCAATCCGTCAGGTGTGGGGTTTTAATACAAAAGGCCTCGGTATTAGTTAGAGTGGGGTAATTCTATATAAATGGCTTGTTCTCAAGCCTTATGGCCGATGTGGGACAAAGGAATTCTAACATTCCCCCGCACACATTGATCAATTTCTTCTCACCCAGTTTCAAATGCAAATAGCAGCTTCTTTAAGAACAGAAAGTCCCCAAAATATTCAACCTATATCTTTAAAAAGCTAGAAAGAGAAAAAAATTCAAATCATTGGTTGCCAAAAACTCTAGGGTGGAGAAGGCGCATATCTCATTCAAAGACAACACACAAGGATCTCCGATTCTTCTTAAGTTCAAGATGAAAGTTGATTGATCTACGTCTGCTCGTGAGGCAATATTTTATTAAAAGATGAGTAAAAAAATAGGACAATAGGGTGGGTTTAACAACTCTCTTTAGATTTTAATCACTATTCTAGTTTGATTATTTAGGTACAAATTGTAGGTACATCTAAAATCAATCTAAAATTCAGATTTACTAAAAAAAATCTTATCTAAGGTAAGGATGGCAATCTAATTTACTATAATAAATAATGACAAGTAATTTACTATAAAGGGTTATTTTCAAGTTCATATGAGTGCGTTTGTTGCACCAGACAATTTGGATTGGACTGACTTGGCTTGGTTAAGTAGGACAAGAATACTAAGCAAGATACGAATAGTGAAGTGTTTGGTCTGGTACCGGCCTAAAATAATTGAACGCAAATTAATTATTTTTATCATTTTTAATTCACTTATTGCAACCAAATGTTTTTATTTCGACGGCCACTCTCCCCGTCAATTCAAATGTTTCTCTATTAAAAAAAGCTTTCCTTGCCATAGTTTACTCCATTGCCTGAATTCCCATGCTTATCTCATTGTGAAACTTTTCTTTTTTTTCAAACAATAGATTTTGTTAGATTATATGTTAGATTAACCACTGACGGGGTTCAAACCCACGCTATCATATGTCTCATTATGAATTTGGCACCACAATTCATATGCCACACATCTGTAACCAAACCAATGTTCCAAGACAAGTTTGAATTAAGAACACAATAAAAAAACTGAAGAAATGCAACAAAAAACCTAATCGAAATCCAATTAAGAGTATTGAGGAAAATGAATCTTTCTCATTAATCTAAAAGATAAGTTAAAACTGTATATACATGCTAAGGAAGAGGAAACTTACAAAGGAAAAAGGTAAAAACATTTATCACAATAACTAAAACTTCCCTAACTAACTTTTAACTCTTGTGAGTTATTTACATTGTTGGTTACTCTAGTATTCTCTTCACACTCCCTTTAAGCTGAATGGAGAAGGTTGAAGAGACAGCTTGGACCGAAGTTGAAGAAATCTTTGTCCTGGGAGAGATTTGGTGTGGATATCTGCTAGTTGATCTTGACTACATACAAATTGAACCGTGAGTAATTTAGCAAGGACTAGATCATGGATGTAGTGATAGTCAATCTCAACATGTTTAGTTCTTGCATGGAAGACAGGATTTGAAGCCAAAGCAATGGCTGAAATGTTATCACACTAAATCTGAGGCAAAATTGGTAATTTGAAACCAATATCATTGAAGAGAGTGTAGATCCAAGTGATTTTAGCAGTAATGTGGGCTAAAGACCTATACTATGCTCCTATCGATGAACGAGCAACAATATGTTTCTTCTTGGCGCTCCATCTTATAATTGCAGGACCCAGAAAAATACAAAAGCCTCTAGTAGACCTTCTATCCTAAGAGCAGCCGGCCTAATCAACGTTAGAAAAGGCTTTGATGGGCAGAGAAGATGAAGTTTTGGGAAACCACAAACCATAACCAAAAGAACCTTTCAAGTATATGAGAATTCGTTTGACTGCTTGAAGATGTTGTTCTCTAGGACAGTGTATAAACATGCACACTAGATTAACAGCATAAGAGAGGTCTGGTCGAGTCTAGGTTAGGTATTGTAAAGCCCCAACAATGGACCTATATTCTGCAGGATCTTGAAGAGGTGGACCAGAATGATTAAGTTTTGCAGAACCTAGGGGAGTAACACAAGGTTTTGCTCCATCCATTTTTTATCTTTTAAGCAAATCTAGGACATACATAGATTGATAAATAAAGATGCTTAAAGAGGATCGCTTTACTTCTAGTCCAAGGAAATAGTGGAGATCACCTAGGTCCATAACTGGGAATTGAGCACTCAACTGAATATCACGAATTTACAAGCTGTAGAAGAAGGGTCAGTGACTATTATGTCATCGACATAGACAAGTACCAAAACCAAAGTTGGTTGATGAATAACAAATAGATTGTGATCTGATTGAGAAGCTTTAAAACCCATGTGAATGAGAGCTGATTGAAGCTTTTCAAACCAAGCCCGTGGAGCTTGTTTTAACCCATAAAGGGACATTTTCAAGGGACAAACATGAAAGGGATGCTCCTGATCAATGAATCCAGAAGGCTGAGAAATGAAGACATTTTCTTTCAGAAAACCATGTAAGAAAGCATTGCTTACATCGAGTTGATGTAAGAACCAATTTGAATGAACTACCAAAGTAAGAAGAATCCTAATGGTAACTGGTTTGGCCACAAAACAAAAGGTACCACTGTAGTCAATGCATTCATGTTGATTATACCCTTTGGCCACCAGTTTGGCATTATATCGTTCCACAGAGGCATCTGGCTTCCTTTTGATACAAAAAACCCTCTTACATCCAACAAGATTTTGTGTAGGATGTCTAGGAACCAATTGCATGTTACTTGTGTTTTGCAAGGAATTAAATTCATCTTGCATTGCTGCCCTCCAATGAGGATATTTAGAGGCTTGTGGATGGGTAGATGGAACAAATTCAAGATTCAAATTAGGGGGAGTGGGTGTTTGATAGCAGTGTATGCCTTAGGTTTGTAAATTCCTGATTTGGACCTGGTTTGCACATAGGGTGAGTAGAAGGGACATGTTGTAATGGTGGACATGGTATGGAAAAGACATGTGGATATGCAAGTAATGGAGATGATTGTGGTTCTGGGTGTTGATGTGGAGAAGTAGGTTGGGAGATAGAAGTAGTGGGGTTAGGTGATGGGGTAATGAGATTATTGAATGTGCAGGATGATAAAGGTCGGGAAAAGTGAGATAAAAGGTAGATAAAGTATTCTCTGAGAGTGATAAGTGTGGGGTTTAACAGAAGGTATGGAATGATAAGGAAATGTATCTCATCGAAATACACATGCTTGGAGACATAAACCCTATTAATGAGAGGGTCTCATGTGAATTTAAACTAACCTAATAAATAGATTAATTCAACCCAAATTTACTCGGAAGTGCACGAATTAGTTGTAGTAGAAATATGTAAATACGAGATCGAATCCACTGGAGTTGATTTAACAATTTAATCCTATAACTATTACTTAACAAATTGAAATAAAGATTGGGTTTGTATCGAAGAATAATTAAAATTAACAATGATTAAACAGAAATATGATTGAGAACAAATGTAAGAAAACACTAAGGCTTTGATTCCACCACTAATTGTCATACCCTAGTATCCAGTTGTCAACTCATGAATTATCAAATTAATGAAAACAACTTCCATACATATGTCTGTGGTCAGGTACACATGCCAATAATTTCCCAAAGAGATGTGAATTTTACAGTGGTCAGACTTAAACTCAACTATTTCTACAGTCTTTATATCCATGGTCCGGTATACACAAACATGTAAAAATCCAATTAAGTGTAGTGAGAAACAAATTAACCACTTATCAACTTGGTCACGTCAAACAAATAGCAAATAGCTAATTTTCTAGGAAGCCACACAAACCAATATTTGTCAACGGTCGAATCAAAATATAAGTTCATGATTCGCATTCACAAAGCATCGATAGAATCCAATTCATGGTCATAAATAAATTCATATGCAAATAATTTCAATATCAAAATCCTAGGCTATAAGCACAAAGAACCAAATATTAAAATTACAATTCCTCTAGTGAATGAAAACTAATCATCAATCTGAAATTCACAAATTAAACAATCGAATAACTAGAGTAATCATAATTAGGGTTTCCTCATAGCCTTAGCTAAGAGTTTAGACCCCATGAACAAAGAATTCATAGTAATTCTAAGAAGGAAATTTTTCCATAAAATAAAACTAGAGAAAAAGAACCAAATCTTTGCCGCTCTGCCACTGCTCCCTTTGTTTCACGCCAGAAGAAGAAGTCGGAGATCCCCCCCCCCCAAGACTTTGCTTCCTATCTTTATATACTGCTCCTTTCCAATTCATAGGACCCCTTTCTTCTAATAAAATTGAGGATTTTATTCCTTGATCTCACAAATATTTTCTCCTGACTTGTCGGTTGCCAATCATTGGAGCCACTGATTGGAATTCTACTGGCAATAGTAATTCCTTGTGTGTAAAGTTGAAAAGCCTCCTTTGTAAGTCAACTCCAAATAAATAAGATTTCCCAAAACCCAATAGCCTTCAACCTAATAATAAAATAACAAGTAAATAAATAAATGAAGCCAATGTTAATAGCATGACTAAAACGTAACGAATGTGTTGAGACCGTGTTATATTCCACCTTTAACAATAAGCATCCTAATCCTTATAAATTACAAAACTAAAGTAATTTACTCACAATAGTGTAAATGAGACACTAACAAATATAAATAATAGGGTAACAATTGTAATAAATACGTGTCTATCAAATACCCCCAACCTTATCTTTTGCTAGTCCTCGAGCAAAACAAAAAGACACAACTAAAAACTAATCTTTCCAAACAACTCAGGGAATCTACACACATGCATATCAAGAATAATAGAGTGTAACAACATATAGTGCTCAAACCTTACTCATAAAATAACATATTCTTAAAACATAACATGCTTGAGTGAACAAATAGCCAAAAGTTGATACAACACAAATGCAAGTAAACTCAACATGCTTAACCCAACTTCAACCCTAAACTCACAAGATATATGCTCAATTCACTCAAAGTGTTTAGGGTTAGGTGTATACACTCAAAAGATCATTACATCAATGCTCTACCATAAGCTTGCATATTGATCTAATCTCCATAAAGAAAAAAATTACTCTCCTTGGATCAAGTAGGTCTTTATTAAGGGTTGTAACAGGAGCTTAAGGTAAATGGCTAAACAAATGAAAGGATTGGAATGCAAAAATTATGAGATATGCTAGAATGTTTCTAATTACCATAAGCACAAAACACGAATCACTTTCAAAAATAGCATCAACAAGCCTTGCATCTAGCATCTTCAATCTACTTTTCCTTCTTTTGTATAAAATATTCTCTCATGCACAATACAAATTTTGTAAATCACTAGAGCAAAGACAGCAGCACATGTTGTTCTCTTATACCCCAGATTCATATGAAAATAAGCATTTGACATCACCAACAAATTCGAGCTGCTTTCATTACATTTATGCATGTACAGGACATCTTCTTCATTGATTCCCTTTTTTTATTTTTATTTTTTTCATTTTTTTATTTTTTTGAATGTCACCACTTGCAGCTCATGCTTTTCAACTTTTAAAAGACCAAATTAAAATACCGTACCCCCAAACTTGAATCGAACATTGTCCTCAATGTTCAAAGTAAAGAAATGCAATGTAATTGGGACACAAAGAAATATGGAATAGATAAAACAAAGAAAAGAAAAGAAAAAGAAGTCAGGGAACTGCCCTGTTTGTAAATGCAGCTCTTTGTCGTATCTTGAGACCACCAGACACATTACATGAACTCCACGATCAGAGTATAATATCAACCAAAATCTGCAAAAACATAACTAACTACAGGGAGCAAACAGTAGCAGAGAACCAATCTAATAAAAACTAAAATAAAATAATAAAACTTAAAGAAAGAGAACTAAGGAAAAGAAATTGGGTTGTCTCCCAATAGCGCTAAGTTTACTGTCTTCAACCAGACACTGCTTTGTGCTAGTCGTTCTTGTACGCACAAACTGCAGGACGAATACTTTCAACATGATCAACACCAGATTAAAGGCCAGGAGCAGGATACAAGTCAAATTGAGCCTTCATATCCCCAAAACACAAAGTTAAAACTCCAGTGTCACATTGAATATTAGCCTTTGCAGTAGCTAGAAAGGGACGTCCAAGAATAATCGGAATTTTAGTAGATGAATAATGCACAGGCCCTGTATCAAGAACAATAAAGTCCATCGGATAATAAAATTTGTCAATCTGCATTAACACATCTTCAATAACACCACATGACCTCTTCACAGATCCATCAACAAATTCCAATGTAATTGGGCTTCGTTTCAGTTCCCCGAGAACCAATTCCACATAAATTGAATATGGCATTAAATTCACGCTTGCTCCATGATCAACCAATGCTTTTTCGAATTTATGACTCCCAATGACACAAGATAGTGTAGGAATTCCAGGGTCCTGAAGCTTCGATGGATTTTTCCATAGATAGATATCACTCAACTTCTTGGTAAGAAAAACCTTTTCTTCGCCGTTCAACTTGCGCTTATGTGAACAAAGACCCTTGAGAAATTTGGCATAGGAAGGGATTTGCTTGATAGCCTCGAGTAGTGGAATATTGATATGGACCTTTTTGAACAATAATGATGATCTTTCTTTGGCCTGATCAAAGCTTGAGGAAAAGGAGGCTTGTCCTTATAAGCTGAAAAAGGATCAAACTTTGATAAATTAAGAGACTTTGTGCTATTTACTTGAGCATTTTTACCCTTTACATCCACCGCTTCATTCTTTTCCACGTTGGTCTCTCGATCCTCCTTTGCCATTTGAACTTTATTATCCACTTGTGTGCCACTCTTGAGTGTGGTGATGGACTTGACTTTCTCATGTGATGGGTGATGATTCGAACTAGAGCTGATCTCATATACACCTTTCAGATTAGCTATGGGTTGACTTGGAAATTTGCCTTTCTCTCTTTCATTTACTGTACTAGCAAGCTGCCCCACTTGAATTTCCAATTTCTGAAGTGAAGCTTGAATAGTCTGAATAGCAGCTTGTGTTTGTTGCTGGAAAACTTGGGTACTTTGTTGAAACGCAAGCTGACTTTGTGCAAGAGCAGTTATGCTATCCTCCAAAGACGACTTCTTAAGTTTGGAGAATCCTGGAGCAGTCCCTTAAAGTTGTGTGTTCCCTTGTGAAGGATTCAATACATTCCGCTGATTTGCATAATTGAAATTAGGGTGATCCCGCCATCCCGGATTATATGTATTTGAGTACGGATTGTGCTTCGAAGAATACCCTTCTTGTCCAACAAAATTGACTTGCTCTTTATCTGAAAAAGAAGTTATCGGACAAATATTAGTTGCATGATCATTTTCTGAACAGATCGCACATACATTAGACTTGAAAGCTTGTTGAGAACTCTGAGGCGATAAGGTCTTGATTAGTGCTTCGGTATTCTTGTTCATGGAAGGCATCTCCACTTGCAGACCATCGTTACCACTTATTGCATATGCACTCCTTTTAGTCTGGCGTCCCCTTGTATTAAATTGCTGCGAATTCTCTACAAGTTCCTCGTACATTTCAATTGCTTCCTCATGACTCATCTTCATTTATATACCTTTGCAAGCGGAATCCACAATGGCTGTATTCGAATCATTTAATCCCTCATAAAATGCTTATACCTGTTCTTCTTCGAGCAGATTATGATTAGGACAATTGACAAGCAATTTATTAAAGTGATCCCACACCTCATGGAATGAGTCGCCATCTCTTTTAATGAAGGATTGAATCTTTCTTTTCAATTGTTTTTTCTTGTGCGCAAGGAAAAACTTCTTTATAAACTTTTTAGCCAATTGTCCCCAAGCAATGATGGAATTGGCATGTAATGAACGCAACCACTTTGACATCTCTTTTTAAAGAAAAGGGGAATAAAAGCAATTTAATCTCATTGGCACTAAGTCCCCTAATGTGTTGCGTTTTGCATATGTCGAAGAACTCTTGAATGTGTGCATAATGATCTTCTTTTAGAGATTCTCCATTGAAGTGAGGAAGCATATTGAGCAGTTGAGGAGATAACATACAAGTTCCGTCAATATTAGGTTGGAATGCAATGCGCGAGGGCTGATCCAAATCCCGAGGGTCAAAAGAATCCCTCATCGGCCTTCTGACCAGCACAATTTCTCGATCTTGCTCGGCCATCTCCGATTCTTTTTCTGAAGTTGGTGGAGTTTCGAGCACCTCTCCTTGAGATAAATGTTTCTGCTGCTGGTTTCACAAAGTCTTCTCAAGTTAGTGATCAATAGGACTAAGTGCTAGATTGAGTGATTGACGTCCTTGCATCTACTATAATAAAGCAAAACTGAGCAGTACCCAAAAAAAAAAAAAAAAAAAAACTTAAGAAAGAAGAACACACAGAAGAAAGGAGAAAAGAAAAATCACTAACATATACAATTCTAAACTAACTATGATAAGCAACAATTAAAGTTTAAATTAGAAAAAGCAATCCTCAGCAGCAATGGCGCCAAAAACTTGATGTGAATTTAAACTAACCTAATAAATAGATTAATTCAACCCAAATTTACTTGCAAGTGCACGAATCAATTGTAGTAGAAATATGTAAAGACGAGATCAAATCCACCAGAGTTGATTTAACAATTTAATCCTATAACTATTACTTAACAAATTGAAATAAAGATTGGGTTTGTATTGAAGAATAATTAAAATTAACAATGATTAAACATAAATATGATTGAGAACAAAAGTAAGAAAACACTAAGGCTTTGATTCCACCACTAATTGTCATACCCTGGTATCCAGTTGTCAACCCATGAATTATCAAATTAATGAAAACAACTTCCATACATATGTATGTGGTCAGGTACACATGCCAATAATTTCTCAAAGAGATGTTAATTTTACCGTGATCAGGCTTGAACTCAACTATTCCTACAATCTTTATATCCATGGTCTGGTATACACAAACATGTAGAAATCCAATTAAGCATAGTGAGAAACAAATTAACCACTTATCAACTTGGTCACGTCAAACAATAGTTAGTTTTCTAGGAAGCCACACAAACCTATGTTCGTCTACGGTCGAATCAAAATATAAGTTCATGATTCTCATTCACAAAGCATCGATAGAATCCAATTCATGGTCAGAAATAAATTCATATGCAAATAATTTCAATATCAAAATCCTAGGCTATGGTCAAGCACAAAGAACCAACTATTAAAATTACAATTCCTCTAGTGAATGAAAACTTATCATCAATCTGAAATTCACAAATTCAACAATCAAATAACTAGAGTAATCATAATTAGGGCTTCCTCTTAGCCCCATGAACAAAGAATTCATAGTAATTCTAAGAAAATTTTTTTGCATAAAATAAAACTAGAGAAAAAGAACCAAATTGTTGCCGCTCTATCGCTGCTATCTTTGTTTCATGCCAGAAGAAGAAGTCGGAGATACCCCCCCCCCCCCCCCCCCCCCCCCCCCCCCAAAAGCGTTTTCTTCCTATCTTTATATACTGCTCCTTTCCAATTCGTAGGACCCCCTTCTTCTAATAAAATTGAGGATTTTATTCCCTGATCTCACAAATATTTTCTCCTGACTTGTCGGTTGCCAATCCTTAGAGCCATCGATTGGAATTCTATTGGCAATAGTAATTCCTTGTGTGTAAAGTTGAAAAGCCTCCTTTGTAAGTCAACTCCAAATAAATAAGATTTCTCAAAACCGAATAGCCTTCAACCTAATAATAAAATAACAAATAATTAAATAAATGAACCCAATGTTAATAGCATGACTAAAACGTAACAAATGTGCTGAGACCATGTTAAATTTCACTTTTAACAATAAGCATCCTAATCCTTATAAATTACAAAAACTAAAGTAATTTACTCACAATAGTCTTAATGAGACACTAACAAATATAAATAATAGGGTAACAATTGTATTAAATAGGTGTCTATCAGGGTCTAAACATCTGTAGCATTTGTGAGGCAAGTTATAGCCAATGAAGACACAGAGCTTGCTCTTAGCTACCAACTTTGAATTTGTGTAAGGTTTGAGCCAAGGGTAGCATGAACATCCAAACACCATGAGTTGACGATAATCTAGCATTTTCTTGAAGAATTGTTCCCATGGAGATGGTTTTGATGGAGGTGGCAGTCGATTGATCAGATACACAACAATGAGAAAGGTCTTCACCCACAATATGTAGTGAACTTTGGAAATAACCAGAAGAGTTCTTGTTGTCTTGACAATGTGTCTGCACTTGCATTCTACATAACTATTTTGTTATGGTGTGTAAGGGCAGCCAAGATGTTGCTAAATGCCATGGTTAGCAAGATGAGTCTTGAATACAGAAGAAAGAAATTCACCCTTTCTCAAAGTACCAATTTTATTTCCAGAGGGGGGAATAAAAGTAGTAAAAACATCAGATTTACACTTGAGAGGAAACATCCATATATACTTTAGTGAATAGTTGCTTTAACTCTGCTTTCTTCTTAAGTAGGCTGTCTAATGCAATATAGTTGGTGGTGAATCGAGTGGTAGCTGGACAAATAATTTCTCCTTTGCAAAATTCACGCATCTTTGCCAACAACCAACTGTGATTGTAAATATAATTTGTGATCGTTCTAGCTCTTTTTACGATGTTTGTACCATTCTTTGGGCTTCCGTATTTAGACTTCGTATAAATACTCGGGGGACTCAAATGTAATTATGTAATAAATGGAGGGGCAATTATGTAAAAAGGGGAGGAGCCCTTATTCTATAAAAGGGCCTCCTCACCCTTACAAACCTCAGGCCTCCTCACCCTCACAAACCTTAAGCCCTCTCACCCTCACAAGACTCATCTCTCTCAAGCTCTCATGTTCACAAATAGAGAGCCCTCTCAAACTCTCTCTTTCTCTGGGGGGGCTCCCCCTCACCCTTGTAATCCATACATATAGTCAGAGAAATACAATATCAGTGTGGACGTAGCCCAAACATTGGGGTGAACCACGATACGTCTTGTGTTATTTACTTTCTTACAGATTCACGGTCGGATTTACGTTGTCCCAAGATCCCTCCGGTTTTGTGCATCAACATTTGGCACCGTTTGTGGAAATCGACACAAAAAACTATGTTGGTTCTCTTTCATTTTTTTACCTCCACCGTGAATCTGCAGAACCTGCAAAACCCAAAAGATAACCAAAACTCTCTCTGCCTCTCTTTTGCTTTTGATCTTTTTCACCTCTTTAAACAAAACACCACAAACTCTCTCTTTCCCTTCTCTCTCTCTGCACCTCAAAAACCAGCATCTTTCGATCTTCCATGCCCATTTCCCCAATGCAGCTGACTACGCAATCATGGGCTGCACCCAGTCTAAGATCAAAAACCATTCCAAGTGTTTATTTAAAAAAAAAATATCTTATCTAATTTCGAAGTGCATTTTGTGGGTTTTCAATGGCGTCGTCCAACCAAATGGAAGAGGAGACAGCTGCCCATGAACCGACAGACGTGAACAGAGGTGTTGTTAAGGAAGAGACAGTCAGGGTGGAGATTACTTATGTGACTGATAATCTGGGAAGGCCAATAGTTTGCAGAGCGCGAGGAGAAGCCCGGTGTGCTTGGGTCGATGATGAAGGCGGTGACAAGGGACTTTGGAGCATGCTAAGGAAGCTATGGTGGGGAAACCCCACCATGAAAGTCAGGTTCAAAGACTTGTGGTAAGGACTTCTCAACACTTCTTCAGCCTCATCTCCCTCGCTTGCTCGCGGGGACAGTTTTGGTCCTTTGTTTTCCTCTATTCCGTTGTCATCGTCGCCGTAGGTTTCGTACTCGTTCTCGCCTCTAACCTCCTCAACGTCTATGTCCTCGATTCTTCGGTTCTCTGCGGTGAGAAATGAAAGTTGGGTCATCATCTGCGCTTCGAAGAACGCGAATAATCAGCCATTTACCGGTGTGGTTTTCGAGCCATTTGAGGAGGTGAACAAGGAGCTTGACCTCGTCCCTACTCACCCACAAGTCTCTTTCGCCCGCCAGAAGTTCACTGATGAAAGCGAGGCCACCATTAACGAACATATCAATGTGGAGTACAATGTCTTGTACATTTACCATGCCATGTTCGCCTATTTCGACAGGGACAATGTAGCGCGCAAGAGTTTTTCAAGGAATCGAGTGAGGAAGAAAGGATCATGCCAAGAAATTAATGGAATACCAGAATAAGCGTGGTGGAAGAGTGAAGTTGCAGTCGATTCTGATGCCTGTGTCGGAGTTCGATCATCCAAAGAAAGGATATGCTTTATACGAAAGTAGAAAAAAAAAAGAGAAAAAGTAGAAAGCATGGCTACCCACTAATGCACAGCAGCCCAAGCTCCAAGTTGATTAAGGGAATCAACTTATCACGATGACAACGCAGAAGATGCCCACCAACTTTCATCATGCATGTTCCCACTCTTCACAGACGACACCATGATGTTAAAGAAAAAGAAACAGAAGGAGGAAAAGAATAGAAAAAGAAAAAGACATAATTGTGGTAAGGATGGCATGCAGAAGAGGGAATTATAGGCGTGCCCCATTGAGCAGAAGGTCGGCTTTATTTTTGAATGATGTAATTTATTT